TGTTCTGTCTGTTAACTGGATTTAAACTCATTTCCTCTGAGAACAAACGGATCTTCCTGCAGCGTCTCCATCCTGCTCGGCGCCGCTCAGCTCGGTCCAGAACCTGGTTCTGATGGAGCGGTTTCCTGTGGGTCGGTTTAGTTAAAGTTCTGGTGGAAAAGTGTTCCTGATATCTGTTGGTTAATGTGAGACAAACAGAACCACTGAGTTCTACAGAGGTTCTGGTCTCAGAGGGTCTTCAGCTGTGGGAGGTTCTTCCTTTGGTTCTGTTCTTCAGCCTCTAACAGCAGAACCGGGTCATGGTCTGATTCTGCTGGCTCTTCTCCAGTAGAACTGGTTTACTTCTTTACTGGTATCCTCATGACCTTTGACCTCTGCAGCACCTTCTGATTGGCTGAAGGTTACATGCTCCCTCTCAGCCAATCAGAGTCCATCTCCTCTCCTCCACCAACACTCAGCTTATTGACCCTGATGAAGATGATGGAGCTTCATCTGAGCTGCTGGACCAGAACCAGAACCAGAACTCCTGATCCTTCCTCTAACATCTCAGCAGCTGAAGCTGCTCAGAGCTTCATCAGTTCAGGAGCTTCCTCTTCCTCTCTGCAGACCTGAACCTGCAGCAGGTTTTCTAGAAGCTTCCACTGAAGCAGAGTTCATCTCCAGGGTTTGATCCCTGCAGGAACATCAGCACAGAAGCAGCTTCAATGTTCCAGCTGAGATGGATCCTCTGTGGTTCTGAAGGTCCATCATTCCTGCTCCTCTCCTCTGATGCTCTCACAGCTCTGCTCTCTCTGCAGCTTCAAGGCCAACAGATCCCAGAAGAACCTTCAGAGCTGAAGATACTGCAGCTCTTCTAACAACAGAACCAGAACCAACTCTAACTGGGCAGACTGGTGTATGGAGAGCAGAACCAGCTGATGGTCCGGTTCCTCCCAGCAGCAGAGCTTCTGTCTGTGGAGGATGGAGACTCCTGGACATGGAGCCTGGTGGCAGTCTGAGAGGAACCAGAGGATCTACCTGAAGGAACCACAGCTGCTCAGGAACAGAACCATCAACTAGGATCTGTTCTGGTTCTGGTTGGACCCAGATCCTCCTTTGTTCTCCTTCATGTTTCTGTGTTTGGAGACGCTGCTTTGCCTTCAGGAAAAACTGACTCCATGTTTTTATCCAGTGAAGCTTTAAAAGATCCAAAAGGTTCTGAAAACTGGAAACATCAGAACTTCTCTGATGTTTCTCTGCAGCTTCAGTCTCTGTTCTCCATCCTCCATCAGTGTCTCTGATCTTCCTGC